CTCTGACTTGATGACTCCAACTTTTCTCATTTCTGTTTATCATTCTTTTTACTACGATGATAAAAGTTGTGGTGACCAGCGAGCACGCACAGATTTGATGTTTTACCCAGTGAAATTCTCCAGACAGACTCACCCACATGGTGCTCTGGACTCCACTGGCGATCAGCAGCAGGAGTCGACGGAGGTCTGATTTACGAAGCCTCACAGAGGAAGACTGGACGCACATGCACAGAAGAAAGCCTGCAGTCAGTGGTGGTCTGTCGTCCAGTCTGACGCCTGCAGACACTACTTCCTGTAGGAGGTCTCCTTCATCCTCTGTCTGGTAGACCAGGCTCAAAGGATGGCCTTCAGGAGTTTTTAAAAATGGCAGAGAAGGAGGACTACGTCTGGTTTGGGTCTGTTGGCTGTGGAGGTCAGCACAGGTACTGCAGACATTTGGTCCGACTGACGTTATATCTGTCGTTGTGCGGTCATCTAAAGTCCAGGTACGCATCTCAGAGTCAGGCTCATAGGGGACAGTATTTTCCACTTCCTTTTAATCCAAGACAGAAACAGGAGTGATTTTTGCAGACCAGATTTAAAATCCTGAATTTGTGGAGTTGACGGTTTTCTCACCTTGTGCATCAGAGCTAAAGGATCTTTGAAGAGGAACAGGTAACTCTGTCCCAGTCCGATGACATCACCAGGGCCAAGCTGCACTTCCTGTCTCAAGGTTTCACCGTTCCTGGTGACCACAGCATCACGACGGGGGCAGATCACGGTGGGACCAGCAGTGTCAGGGCGGTGGAAAGAGCAGTGCTTCGGAAGAATGTCATTGGCAAACAGGAGGATGTCGGGTTTCGACCCGTCGTCCTGGTCATCATGTCGTCCAATCAGAGTTTTTGTTCCCACCAGTAGGTAGATGACAAAGTCCTGGAGAAAAAAACAACACGTATAAAAAACCAATAAATAAATAGTTTCAATGCTAATGGTTTTTACGCTAATGTTAGTGTAGTGTGTAGTGTTTTCAGTATTGTTGTGTTGACAAAGTATATCTGTATTTTTACAAATCTACAGTAATCACAGATGATAACTGTCTGTTTTTACAGTGAGGAGAAAAAACAACAACTGTTGAACAGAGGAAGCAGAAAAAAACCACCACAGCTATGTTTCCTGACTGATTACTGGTGGTTTTTAACTGTCACACACACACACACACACACACACACACACACGGGGTAATTCTCAGCCTGTGTCCATGTGTGTGATGAAAACCAACTGTGCAGTTTTCACTCCCAGTTCTTTTTTCCCCTTTAAAAATGGCCCATCATTAGAAACTGACCGTCAGCCATAAAAACTCTGTAACACACAGAACTGCTGTCATCTATAATAAAGACCAGCAGCAGGAGGATCAGAACAGACCAGAATAAACCACTGCCATTGTTCTCTGAAGCCACTGAACCCTAACACACAGTGTTTGTTTTCTCAGGTTTTAGTCTTAAAGCCGTCACATGATCAGAGCTGAGCTTTCACTCAGAGCTGAGGTTTCCAGTCAGGACGTCGTTAACTTACATTCACAGAAATTGTTGAACGTGAACATAACTAAAACCAACCCTCAGACCAGGGCGGCTCACACTATCATCTTACACCGTGAGCAGCTGGGACGAGGTGCTAAATAAAGGTCACACTCCTGGAGGCAGGTCATCATTCTTCCTCCACTTTCATACATGTAGAACCAACACCACGTTTGGGGGATGGGATATTTGGAATTCTGGGATACAGTGGGACAGTCTGGGAAAGTCGGGGACAGTCTGGGACAGAGTGGGACAGTCATTTTGGACCTGTGAATGAGGTACCTGTGTGGGCCTGCAGCCCTGCAGCAGCAGCAGGTACGGACAGTCGTGGGGCGGATGAATGGAGTACTGTGTGGTGTTATCGTCGCTGCTCTCTGTCTCCTCCCTCTCTGACTCCTCTCCTTCCTGCTCTCCTCCTGGTCTGGGTGGACAGAGGTTCTCTGTTGCCATCTCAGACCCCTCTGAAGGAACCTCCAGGCTCTGAATGTGCTTCGGTTCCTGCAGCACGGTTTGGGTCGGTCCCTGGCTCCGGTCTTTGACGCATGTTTCTGTGTCCTGGTGTTTGGCCCCTGCCTCGGACTCCAGAAGTTCCACCTCACTTTTGCTTCTCCACAGTTTGTGGTTCTGACTCGTGGCTCGGTCTATGAGGGTGGAGTTCACTCTGGACCGGCTCTTCTGCAGCTTTCGGGCCTGAGCATTAAGACCTGACAGGAGAACGAGGAAACTAAAAACATGACCAAGAAAAACATGACATGTTTCTCATGTTATTCCAGTCTGTTCTTAGTTTAACATACATTTCCAGCAGCCCACATTCTGGACACCATTTGTACTGGTGTAGCTGTACTGATGTAGCTGTACTGATGTAGCTGTACTGATGTAGTTGTACTGATGTAGCTGTACTGATGTAGCTGTACTGATGTAGTTGTGCTGATGTAGCCGTACTGATGTAGTTGTGGCACAAAAACATTAATATGCGTCATGGAAAGAAGTGATGGAGCAGAAGTGTTTTACTTCCTGATGTAAAGGGTGAAGTTTGTCTCATGCTGTGCTTGGGAGTGTGTTCTCTGGGAGAGACACACACACACACACACACACACACAGTGCATCCCTGCACAGGAAACAGACCTCAGTGGAAAGACAGACACAAAAGCAGAGATCATGGAAAACAAAATCCACACATCAGGAATCCAGGAGCTGGAACACACTGAGGCTACCACACACAAACACACACACCAGGACACACACTGAGGCTACCACACACAAACACACACACATCAGGACACACACCAGAAGCGTGTCCCCAGCTGTGTCAACCTCAGGCGTACAGACAATATCAGTGAGGACAGACACCGGTCTGACCCTGTGGTACGGTATCTGCTCAGGTCTGGGTCACATGACTGTGGAAGGAATGTTTTCTGTCGCAAAGTTCTTCAGGGAAATCAGGGAGAGAGGAACCGAGTGTTCAGACATTTACATGGGTGGGGGG